CACCAGTGAAATAATATTTTTAATAAAATGGAATAGCGCCAGAGTAACAAACAATTTAACTGCATTCACCTGGCATGTTTTGACATGGAATTTGGCATGGTGCCTGAAGTTCCAGAGGCCTGAAGTTCTATAAAAAGAGTGATATTTCAAAGAATTGTATAAGGGGAAATGAACCTTGAGGTAAGAAGGATAAGACCCGCTTTTTTAAAGAAGAAGGAATAGGAATGGATAATTCAAACATTGTATATGATGGGGCTATACAGTATAAGCATAAATAAAAATGCTTTAACTACAGATCAATTTTTGTAAGAGTGTAATGGAGTGAAGCGAGTGAAGCTCTTACATAAAAGTATATGATATCCTGGTCAAGTATCCCCAAAGAAACTATCAGCTCTGTGTATGAAAATTTTGTACTGTCAACAGACAAACCAAGTACTCTCACTGTTATGAAGGAATATTCAAGGAAAAAGTTACTCTCTGGGTCCTTTTATGGATAAAAGTCCAAGAAAAGGGTTAATTCACACTCCTGAGCCACCAAATAATACACCAGGAGTATAAGGCAGGAGATAACCCCTTCAAAACCAAATACTTGATATATAGAGGATTTGGTCACAGGTGATACTAGAAAGTATGCTTGGGTTTACAGTTATATGATTGGAGAAGCTGGAAAGCACTTGATCAAGTTGACTCATCCAGAGGTGTTGGCCTTGCAGCAACTAATTTATAAGGAATAAGGGAAGGCTTAAATGGGGAAGTTTAAGGGGTCTGACCAATATTCCAGGAGGGGTGAAATAAGAATAAAGGGTTGTCTGTACTACTCTTGAAGTGTGAGGGGAATATTCACTAGGATACTTACTGTATGCTGGTGGGTGAATATTCTGAGGATTTCAGGGCCAAAGAAAGCTGCCTTTCATATTCTAGAGGTACCTCCAAGGAGCTACTAGAAGGTTCTAGTATATTTCACAATTCTTACGTCAAATGATTCCAGAATGGTGTCATATTTCACCATAGTTCATTTTAATGCACTTCAATTCATTCTATATCCCCATAGCATCATTCTGTGTTGTACAGTCGACTACAACATGTGC